GAGCCTTTTGTACTACTTAACCTGTACAGTCCTTGTCCTGGAGCCTGTGTGCAAACACTTAATCACAAAAGGCGGGGGGAGGGGTGCAAGCCTTTAACCAGAAGAGTCCTACGTTTGTGTTTGCCTAATGTCATTCATTTCTGGTTAATTTTAAGTGCTTGTCCTGCTCTTGTGTGGCCTTTTCCTTAACCAGATGATACCCATATGACATGTATTTTATATAGCAGGCATCAAAAACATATTGCCTCTAAATGGACTTGTTCTTTTTTAAGGCAGTTTCACTGTGCAGTTCAGGCTGGCCTTAAACTCACTTTGTAGCCCAGGCTGGCCTCGAACTTGCAGCAGCCCTTCTGCCTCAGCTTCCAAGTGCTAGGATTGTAGGCGTGCACCACCATGCCTGGCTCACACATGGACTTTTAAAAAAAAAATGTAGGTTTCTATAGATTATCCAAACATTAAAATCTAAATAGTTTGAAGCCCTCTATACTCTCCATCTTTTTTTTTTTTTTTTTAAAGACAGGGTTCACTTTGTAGCCCAGGTTGGCCTCAAAATCACAGCAATCCTCCGGTCTCAGCCTCCTGAGTGCTAGGATTATAGGCACAGCCACTGCGCCTGGCTCTACTCTCCTTTCTTTACCTTGTTCTACCTGCCTGTTTATCTGTACTTTACAGAGTGGGCCTGCTGATTCTGTGCAACCATAAAGCATTGTGCTTTGGACTTGAAGAGCCAAGATCCCTTTCAAGTGTTTGCATTCAGATGAGAGAGATGGACTGGTAGTGTCATAATAGTTTATAGAAGGGAGTGGCCTGGGGGGGTAAAAAAAAAAAAGGAGTGGTCTTGGTGAATGTGTAGAATCTTCTTTCACTCAGTGGCCTGTGCTTTAGGGAATTTAACTGAAGGAATAGGGTAAGGACATTCTGTACTGAAGGAAGAAGGCATTCATTGCAACCTGCGTTTGTACAGTATAATAACCCTCTGGTCCCATGACAGATGTGTTCCAAGACCCTCACTGGATACCTGAAACCACGAGAAGTACTGTGTTTTCTCCTGTGCATACGTACACTAATTTAACGCCATTCCCATCATGATAGGCTCTGTATTATGTACTTTGGCTATAACTTGTGATTTGAGATGCCACAGCAAAAGTAGCACAGACTTCTTTTTTCTTCTTGACAATTCCAAGAGCTGGAAACTTCATTAACATACAGTATCACAGAATATTTTTCCCGTTCTTAAGTCAAGATCTTTTTTTTTTTTTTTTTTTTTTGTCTTTTTCCTTTTTATCGGTACTGGGGATCGAACTCACAACTGCCTGCTTGCAAGGCAGGTTAAGTCAAGATCTTTTGCCTTTTCATTTGCAGGAAGCACTCTGTTGCCTCACTTGGTGTGTCCAAATTGCCAGCCTCACTGCTCGGGGGCTTGGGACCATTACTAAGTAAACAAGGCTTACTGGCTTCTTGGGCTTTGGCTTTGTGACAGGCCATCTGATAATTGGGATGGTTGCCTCGTGACTAGATGGGAAGGCAATGTAAATTGTGGCTGCACTGGAAGAAGGATGATTCATGCCTTTTGCGTCCTGAGGAGGAGAGATTTCATCACATCGCTTAGAACAGTGCACAGTTTAAAATGTTAGGTTTGTTTTATTTCTAGGAGTTAATATTCAGTATTTGGGACCCCAGTAGACTTACTGAAACTGCAAGTGCAGACTCCTGTGCGTGCCTGAAAAACCAGTATGTGCTGAATCCCATCCAGAATTAAAAGTGCCTCACAGGCTAGAAGCCCAGAGCCTCATGTGTGTTTCTGTTTGTTTCGTTTTGTTTTTGAGACAAGGCCTTATTATGTAGTTCAGGCTGGCCTTGAACTCATGGCAGTCCTCCTGCCAGGGCCTCCCGAGCACCGGGATTAGAGGCATGTGCCACCGTGCCCAGCCCCATGTGTATTTCTGTTATGGCTCCTACATAAACTTTTTTTTTTTTCTTTCAATACAGAGATTGAACTCAGGGTATTCACACTGAACTACATCCTACCCCTCTTTTTTAAATTACTGTTTTAAATTTTGAGTCAGGGTCTTACTAAATTGCTGAGGCTAGTTTTGAACTTGTGATCCTCTTGACTCAGTCTCCCACCATAACTGTCTCCCTGTACAACTTTATTATCCCTTATTTATTTTGGTGGTTTTTTTGAGACAGGATAATCACTGTGATGTCCAGGCTGGCCTTGAACTCTCAGCATTCCTCCTACCTCAGCCTCCTGAGTGCTGGGATTAGAGGTGTGGTCACTTCAGTCACTATTGTACCTTCTTTTACCTTTTTTTTTCAAGGAGAAGAAAAAAAAAAAATGAAAACGAGATTTCCAGACACGTCAATCAGGGCCACAATGGTACATACATTGCGCATTGTTATCCTCAAGTCATTCTCCCAGACAAGAAGACATTTGCATTCAGTTTCCCAAACAATACCAGCTCGAATGTTTCTCTTCCCAGAGAAGTCAGTAGTACCTTTTAGCCTTCTGACTCTCTGTTGAGTTGTTTAAGATAGGGCCTCCGCATGCCCAGTACCTAGCTTACTCCCTTTGGCTCACCTGGCACGAAATGTTGCCAATGTACATCTGTGTAGCTGAGTACTATGGTACCCTGTGGCTGACTCTGTGCTTACTCTCGTCATGGTGGTGCTGTTGAAAATATCTGGGGCTCATTCAGCTAAGAGACAGTTGAAAGAAATGGGGTGCCTACAGAGGACGTGAGGCTGGTCTGTTCAGGTTAGTTGCTGTGCTCATGCATGATCAGGCTGAGGGCTGATGACTGGGGTGGCACACTAGAAACTTCCTGGACTTTGGGAGTGCGATCAGTCATCATGATTGGCCACGTTAGTGAATTAGGAGATGCCTGGCAGGTGAACACAGCACATCCCATGTCTCTGAGTGAGTAGGGGAGTTCCGCTGTTCCAGGCCTTTCCTCTCCAGCTCTCTTCCCATCCGGCTCTACTTTCTGGCCACCGTGACTGAGCAGCCTTCATCCACCATACCCATCTGCCACGCTCTTCCTGTCAGGAGCAGCCAGCCATGAACCAAAACATCTAAACCCGTGCGCCATGCTAGACCTTTCCTCTTCCAAGCTCACTGAGAACAGTGGCATCCCTGAGGTGTCTGTAAATTGTTTTAACGTTTGGCTTAATAGAAGTTAACTGGGTTCTTCCCCATACCCCGCCTATTCCAATATACTGTTCTAGTGAGAGTCGATGAGAAACATGTGTCCTTGCACAGATATGTAGTTGGAAGAGGGAGTGTTTCGATCTTCTCACATAACTGTGGTTTTTTTTTTTTTTTTGACATGGTACCAAGACTTAACAAGTAGTAGATTTTCTAAAGGTTAATTGCAGTATGGGTTATAAAATTGTCTTTTCATACATTAGAATCTATTGATTTGTCTTATACTTTGAATAACTGTTTTACTCAAGAATGGTTTCATGCATAAGTGCCTGCCTGGCAAGCACAAGGTCCTGAGTTCGATCCTCAGTACCAAAAAAAAAAAAAAAAGAAGAATTTCACATCATGTATTGGTCTTTCGAAATTACTGCTCACTGAGTTATTGGGATAGTATTACTCAGGGTTCTTCAGCAAGATGCGCAGATAAGGGAGAGGAGATGTGTCGTGGGAACAGGCTCATGTGATTGTGAGGTTGCCCTTTGCCTTTTTGTCCTCTCCAGACCCTTGAGGGAGGGGACCAGGTGAGGCCTCTCAGCACTTACTCAGTCTGATTCTAACACTGATCTCTTTGGAAACACTCAGACCCCCCAGAAGTGCCGCTTTGCACCTTGCTAGGCATCCTTCAGCCCTGTGAGTGTGACATCTAACGGGAACCTGCCACAAACCAGTTAGGTTCAGTGAGTCGCTAGAAGCACTCCAGGAACTCAGTGCAGACTGTTGAGCTACTTGTGGTTCATAGCAGCGGAGGCTGGAGTTCAGGATCAGCCACAGAAGAGTTAGAATGTGTCTGAGTCCAGCAGAGTTCCCAGGGGAGCTTCCGGCTGTCCTCCTCATGGGATGTCACGGACAATGCTGGGTGGCGGCAGATTCTCCCACCATGGCTCTTCTATCAGTGGAGATGTGAACCAGGGCATGAGGTGATCACGGCCTTAATAGTGTAAATGGTTTCTAGAAACAGGTCTGAGTGTGGGTTTTGCCTCAGTCTCTGCCGTGTGCTCAGCGCTCTATGCTTTGCCCTGTGTTGTTTCACAATGTGATTTTATCTGGAGGACATGGACCTAGCTTGCAGGCTCTGTGAGGATAGGTGACTGTCTCCAGCTGTCTGTTGTTTGGCACAGGTAGGTATCTTGTTTTTGTAGGTACTGATACGTTTGCTTGTACACAATTCAACAAGTATTATACACAGTTCCACAAGTATTGGTTAAATTAATGTGAGGAACCTTTTCATCGCTTCTGTAAATCCTTCTCCAACATTTGTTGCAGTTTTTTTTAAAAAGTAGGTTAGGGCTGGGGATTTAGCTCAGTGGCATAAGTGCCTGCCTTGCAAGTACTCGGTCATGAGTTCCATCCCTGGTACTGGGGGGGAAAAAAAGTAAGTTAAAAATGACTTTTTCTTTTTTTCTTTTTTTTTTTTTTTTTGTCTTTTTCATTTTTATCGGTACCAGGGATCGAACTCATGACCGCCTGCTTGCAAGGCAGGTGCTTATGCTGCTGAGCTAAATCCTCAGCCCCTTTTTTAAATCTTTTTGAGACAGGGTCTTGCTGTGCAGTTCAGGCTGGCCTTAGGCTCACTTTGTAGCCCAGGCTGGTCTCGAACTTGCAACAATCCTCCTGCCTCAGCCTCCCGAGTGCTGGGATTACAGGAGTATGCCACCTTGCCCGGCCGTTCCTCATCATGCTTGCTGATCTCAGCTACTACTGTTGAGGCAGTACAGAAGCTTTCGTCCTCCAGATTAGCGTGACAGACTCCAGCCTTCTGTCTTAACAAGTTTTATTCTTCTGCTCTGTCTCTCAGGAGCCCTCAGGACAGTCTGTCAGGAAGGCGACAGAGAATAACAGTTCGTACTTACCCGATTGCTCTTCTCTTCGGCGAGCACTGTTTTAATATATTCTGTCTTCAGTGTGGGAAAGATTGTTCTCCTAGTCACAGAGAAGACACTCATGGCCCCGAGAGGTGGCCTGGCAGGGAGGCTCTGGAGCCCCAACTCTGTTGGTACCTTCGGAAACCTTCGTGCTGTTCAGCTGCGGAACCCTGTTTTTGTCTGTGTCCTGGAGCTGAGCCCCTGCACCGCGTCGGAGGCCCTCCACACTCTGATTTCCGCTTTCTGGACACCGCGCTGCTTCCTGCCTGTCTGCTGCTGCAAGTCTTTCTTTTTTTTTTTTTTTTTTTTTTGTCTGTTTTCTTTTTATCAGTACCAGGGATTGAACTCACGATTGCCTGCTTGCAAGGCAGGCGCTTATGTCGCTGAGCTAAATCCCCAGCCCCTGCTGCTGCAAGTCTTACAGTGCAAATCTGCGTGTGGCTCACTCACACAGCATTGTGTGCTCACACAGCCTGCCCAGCTTCCACCATGTCTGTCTCACAGCCTGGTCCACTTGCTGGGCCCTGTGCCCCTAACCATTCCCACTTTTGAGATCGCACAAGTGTTCATTGCTCAAATGACATCCTTCTTTTTTTCTTGTCACCTCCCCTCTCTGTAGACTCAGGCAGACTAGCAGAAAAGTGTCTCACAGGTGCAGTGGGTACAGTGGAAATGGTAAGTGCATGGTTTGCAGAAGTCTGCATAGTGTAGCTTAAAACTGACCATTCCTTCAGGGCACAGACTCAGCAGCAGTATTTGGTGCATAAGAAATGAAATTTTTTGAGAATAAATGAACATGGTATTTCTCCAGAGTTGTATTTGTTGTTTTATATTTCCCTCCAAATTCTCAAAATGATGAAGTCTTAGGGTTTTAAAAAATGGTATAAATGTGGACTTCTCAGACTTCGCTTTAAGTAATGTGTTTTCTTCATGTCTTTTCCTTTGTAAGCTCCTGGCTCGACTGGAAGGTAGACGTTCTTTGAAAGAAATCGAACCACATCTGTTTGCTGATGAAGATTCACCTGTGCAAGGTAAAAACACACCTTCACATAAAAATATTGTATCAGAAGTTTTATGAAACAAGTTTTTACACATGTATACACACACACACACACATACACACGCACTCTCCTAATGAAAGACTGTATAGGTCAGACTGCAATTTAAAACATCAGAATATCCTAACAGAAACTGTTAGGCCTTTTTCTGTCAGATGAGGTGAAGGTGGGCTTGTGAGCAGTAACTTCTGTAATTTTTGTTTTGTTTTGTTTCATTTTGGTTTTGTGCAATAGAGTCTCATTGTGTAGCTCAGGCTGACCTGAACTCACTGACCATCCTCCTTCAGCCTCCTCAGTGCTCTGATTACAGGTGTCCACCACACACTTGGCTTTATTTTTTGAGACAGAACCCTGCCAGGTAGCCCAGGCTGCCTTCGAACTCATGCCAGTCCTCTTGCCACATCCTCCTGAGTGCTGGGATTACAGGCACCATGCCCTGCTTGTTATTATGCTTTTTAAAGATTCTTTAATTCTTTAGAAGTTTGCAGAATTACAAGAAAGTCCTTAGGTGCCTGTTTATTCTTTACTAGTGGAGCTTCTATTTAGGAAGAACTTATGCAGAAGGTAATGTGCTTTGTTTCTAAAAGTGTAACTGACACCTTTAGAGACTTACAATTCACTCTTTTCAGTGTACAACTGGGTCATTGTCAGTACATTCATGCAGTTGTGTGACCATCACCACAGCTGGTTCTGTAGCACCACTTCCCCTGATGGAGAAATCCCCCCCCCCCCCCCATTTAGAGCCATCTCATCCCTCTTGGTCCTTGGCATCTGCTCACTGTGTTTGCCCTTTTTTGGACATTTGCATTTACGGGATCTGATAATGTAATCTCTTACAGCCAGCATCTGGGACTGCCCGTGACCTGTCAGTGCCCAATTGGTGACGTGTACAGACAGCCCACTCACCCTACTTTTGGATAGTGTTTCACTGTATGTATGCATGTACCACAGGTGGTTTGTCCACCCATCATCCGTCGACGAGCATTTGGGTGGTTTCCGTGTCCCAGCTGCTAAGAAACGTGTTGCTGTGGTTATTTGGGATATAAGTTTTTCTGCGGATTGACACTTTCCTTCCTCTTGGGTGTTAACCTAGGTCAGGGATTGTCTGGGAATATGATAACTGTGTATTTCAGAAACTTCAAAACTGGTTTCCGGAGTAGCTTTGGGATTTCCTTGGCAGCGGCAGTGCAGTGTGTGGTCGTCCCGGTTTCCCCATGCTGTGTTGTCTGTCTGCATGATCGTAGCTGCCCCCACCGGTGTGATGCAGTCTCTCACTGCGATTGTTGTTGTTGTCTGTGTTTTGGGTTTTCTGAGACTGAGGCTCACTGTGTAGTCCAGGCTGGCCTTGAGCTCACAGTTTTCTTGCCTCAGCCTCCCAGGTGCTACAGTTACAGGAGTATGCTTCACTATGGCTTTGGTGTGCATTGTCCTGATGACCAGTGATAACTGATCGGTGTACGCATGCTGAGTGATCATTTGTATTTCATTGCTGGGGAAGTAGCAGGCCTTTCGATTATTTTTAAAGTTGCTTTCAGTACTAAGCTGTAAGAGTCCTTTGTAACTGAAAGTCTGAGCTGTCACAGACACTTTCATCCTTCTGTGGGCTGCCTGGGCTGTCTCAGCAGTGTCCGAGGAGGTGCGTGTTATCCATTCTGGGAGCCCAGCTTACCCATTTGTTTGTTTTGTTGCTCATACTTTGCTGCCATATGTAAGAATCTGTTGCCTCATCTGAGGTTGAGTCTACAGCTTATTGTTGTCACTGGTTTGTTTTCATCCTTTTCTGACTGGAAGAACATGCTTCTCTGACTTCGGTCTTTATGAAGTTACTGAGACTCGTTCCAAGGCCTAGCACCGTGTGTTCTGGAGTTTCTCGTGTGCACTTCAAGACCACAGATGTTCCTGTGGCTGGGGCAAGTGTTCCAGCAGTGTCTGGGTCCTAGCTAAGCTTCTGTGTCATTTGAATCTCCTGATTCCTTGCTGAGCCTCTGCCTCATTCGGTCCGTTACTGAGAGTGGGATGTTAAAGATGGGGGGGCCTGAGGAAGGGCCAGGAACAGGAGACTCAGTACCCGTTGTAGCTCACGTGGACCCTCCGCAGTGAGGGCACGTCACACACTGCAAACACAGTGACAGAGTCTGAGAGGAGAGCAGGCTGTTGGCATCTCCCGCTGTTAGTACTGAAGTCTCTACTTCTACCTTTGGTTCCGTCCAGTTTTTGCTTCATGTATTTTGGGCTTCGCCTATGATTGCTTATGTAAAAGTTTATCACATCTTAACTGCTGGCTGACCCATTTATAATCGTAAGATTTCCTTCTGTCATCTCACATCTATTAAGATAACTACTGTTAATAAAGAAAATAAGTGTTGAGGAGAATTTGGAGAAAATAGAATTATTGCAAAATGATGCAATCATTACCGAAATCACCATGGAGGTCCCTCCAAAAATGAAAAACAGCTCCGTGTGACCCAGAGAGCCCACTTCGGGGAATGCAGCAGGAAGAACTGAAAACAGGACCTTGAAGCAGCAATTCTAGTCATGATAGCCAGGAGGCTACAGTAACCCAGACATAGTCATAGTTGATTAGGTATGCAAAATGTAGTAGGCACAATGGACTACTACTCACTGTTTAAAAGGAAGGAAATCTTGTTACAAAGTAAAGGACAGATGAAATGTACAGATATTATGTTACATAAAATAAGCCAGACAAAAGGACAGCCTGAATAGTTCCACTGACATGAGGTATCTAAAGTAAATAAATTCATAGAAACAAAGTAAAATGGTAGCTACCAGGGGCCAGAGAGAAGCAGGAAGGGAAGTTGTTTAATAGATAGTCTTTTTTGTCGGTGTCACTCCCGGCCGGCAGGAAGGACACACAACAAAGTCTGGCAGTGGACAACCTTTTCTTTTATTTTCCTTCTCCGTACAGCCTGCCCCGGGAATCCTCCCGGCCGAAGCCTCTGTTGGTCCGCTCCCCGCGGCTCCTTGCGTGCTTCTCCCTACAGTCTGTCCCGAAGCCTCTACCGGTCCGCTCTCCGCGGCTCCTTGCGTGCTTCTCCCTACAGTCTGTCCCGAAGCCTCTACCGGTCCGCTCTCCGCGGCTCCTTGCGTGCTTCTTCTGCTTCTTCTTTTTCGTGGCGGGAGAGGCACTCACTTTTATAGGGTTACAGTGGCCAATCAGTTCAAAGCGCGCGATGCGGGCTGATTGGCTAACATCAGTTGTTGCTAGGCAGACTATCTTACAGGGCGGGTTGTGAAGCAGGAGATCTTACAGGGCGGGTTGTTTACCAAGCAGGAAGCAGGAGATCTTACAGGGCGGGTTGTTTACCAAGCAGGAAGTAGGAGATCTTATAGGGCGGGTTGTTTACCAAGCAGGAAGTAAGCGCCATCTTAGCACACTCGATGGGAGGGGTAATCTAGCTCAGGCTTTGCTCTTTCCTACAGGCCTCACGTCCGCCAAGTAAGGCGACCGGGCTCGGCCGCGGCTCCCAACACTTTTTATTTTATTTGTTTACTTTTCTTGAGACAGGATCTCGCTGTATAACCCATGCTGGTCTTAAACTCATGATTCTCCTGCTTCAGCCTCCTGAGTGCTAGAATTATAGGCATATATTACCATATCTGACTGAAAGTTTCCATTTTGTGGAATGAAAAAGTTCTAGATATCTGTTTCACAGCAGTATGGAAATATGTCAGCACTACTGAAGTGAACACTTAAAAAATGTGTAAGGAGCCAGATGTGGTGGTGTGCACCTCTAATTCCAGCATTCAGAAGGCTGAGGCAGGAGGATTGTTATGCGTTTGAGACCAGCCTGGGCTACAAAGTCAGCTCAGGGCCAGCCTGAACTGCAGTGAGACCATGTCTCAAAAAGACACCCCTCCAAAAAAGTATAAGGTGTTGTTTTATGCCATACATATACAGAAGAGAATTTTATATATATGTGTGTGTGTATAACTTTTAAATTTTGACTATAGAGAACAAAAGCACCTTTTTACACTGTATTCCTAAAAAAACTAAAACTAGAAATTCCATTTGACCCAGCTACTCCCCTTCTAAGTAGCTTCCCAAAAGAGTTAAAGACGTTACAGTGATGCATGCCTACCAGTTGTCTTAGTTACCTGGACTAGCTAAGTTACCTGACACCCACAAGTGAAAGAAGAAAGGTTAACTTAGCTCACAGTGTGTAGAGGTTTCGTCCTCTAGTTGGCTGGCTGCAAAGCCGGGTGAAATGGCGCAGGGGGTGGCAGGGGAAGAACAGTCCATGGCAGGGCGGGCAGGAAGCTGCACCTTCGTTCTTGTCTTTCACTCTTCATTCTGTCCAGGCTGCCAGCTATGGGCTGATTGCACCCACACCAGGCTGAAGGAGTCTTCCTCTGCAGTGAGTCCTTCTACACCCAGAACTTCACTGAACCAATCAGTGCATCAATTTAGTATCCTGTGCAGGAGGCTTTGGGGAGACATCTTGCTTGCCTTTTATCTAGCCATAGTGCCCAGATTATACTGGAACAATTCATAAAGCTAAATCTTAGAAATAGCCCATGTGTCCATCAATAGATGGACAAAGAAAGTATATTTATGCACTGTGTTATATATTCCTGATTACACACAGAGGAAGTTTGTATCCTCTCTCATATTTTCTGTCTTAAAAATCTGTTTTGTCAGCAGTCGTGAGTTCGATCCCTGGTACCGATAAAAAGGAAAAAGACAAAAAAAAAATCTGTTTTGTCTCTTCACAATTAGCTGTTGTTTATTTGTTTGTACCAGGAGTTGAATTTAGGACCTTACACTTGTCAGTCAGGCCCTGTGCCACTGACTGCTTTTTTGTTTTGCTTTGTTTTTTGTCTTTTTGAGACAGGGTCTCACCACGCAGTTCAGGCTGGCCTTAAACTCATTTTGTAACCCAGGCTGGTCTTGAACTTGCAACGGTCTTTCTACCTCAGTCTCCCAAGTCCAGGCGTGTACCACCATAGTCAGC